CCTTCCCATCCCCACGAAAAGACAGAGGGTGAATGTGCTTGGTTGACTCGCAGTTGCACCCTTGAAAATCCATAACATCAACAAAACATCAAACAGGATCGTGCAAAATATTCCACAAGTCGTCAACCTATTTAAGAACCATTTTTTAGTCATATTTAAACCTTGGGAGGCAAGCTTGACCAAATCCGCGAGTGGAACAGATAAGTTGATACGTTCTTCTGATAGTGTCGACACATATTTGACCAAGTATTCACCTACATTCCAGCCACCAGGTGATTTTGGCTCATTAAATTCTTTGATGAGTTTGACCTCATTCTCTTTCAGGTGATTCACAAGTAAAGTCTTAAAATATTTCTAGAGTTTCCTCCTAAATGCAGCTGTAGAATCTTGAATTACTCTGACGTGGATCATTTCATCATAAGACAGTGTGATACTTTGCTCCTCTAATTTGAGGGACTCTTGAGAATTGTAGTGCCTTTTAATCACATTGTACAAACAGTTTAATTCTGCTGTTGATGTCACCATAGCAAGTCTCTGGCTAATTTTGGGGTTTTGTAGCTGAAAGAGTTTTGGAACCTACCATGGGTAAGAAAATGAAAAATGACGAGGAATGAGGGAAAAATCTAATGATTCTTGAAAGAACTCTGGGTTTCTCAAGAACCCATATCAATGGGGCTCTTTCAAGAATCATTAGTCAAGCCTAACGAAGATTGTCCATTTTGGAAACTTATTGAAACAAGTCTTAGAAAAGTCATACCTTTATTTACACCATACAAAACATAATCAAATAACAACAAATCTAAAGATTATTATGTATCTGCGAGCCCATAACATTACATGTAAGCTTATGTTTCACCTGTCCCCAAACAAAATATCCTTATTTTTTATTCACCACCCATCACATCACATATTCACATATTTAGTACATCACATATTCATATATTTAGTACATCACATATTCACATATTTAGTACATTATATATTCACATGTTTGGTACATCACAACACATCACTCAAGTCCTCCTTCATATCCACAAAGGAGAGCAAACTAATCCAACATCAACACTTCATCCTCCTTCCTATCCCCCCGAAAAGACAAAGGGTGAATATTCTTCGTTGACTGGCAGTTGCGGGTTTGTAAGTGACATTGTAGGGCCTTGGAATGATGTATGATTGACAAGTGGTAATTCTTCAGCTCGTATTCGTTACACTTCATTATGCACTGTCACATAAAAATATGGTTTATGATAAACATAGCATACAAATTAATTATAGTCACATATATGCATAATTTAATAAAATCAATCTATACAAAAAAAGAACTAACCTAAATTGTGAACTCAATTCATCCAATATTAACAGACCTCACTAAGAGCATCTTCAATCCCTTCGTTGCAATTTATGCACCTAAATAATGTACAACAATTTATTTATTGTTAACAATCTTTGCTGCAAAGAAAAGAAAAACCCTAAAGAAAACGAAAATTCCTTATTATATATATATGGGAGCCCATTTCATAACACTTAAGCTCATGTTTCATCAACCCCAAACAAAAGCTGCTTCTTTTTTTATCCACCGCCCATCACATCACATAGTCACATATTTAGTCCATTACATCACATCACACAAGTACGAAAAATGGATCAAATACAAAAAATAGTGTACATAATCAACATCAACACTTCGCGTCCTCACAAGACACTCTACTCATAGCTTGAAGAGACGCCTATCCACAAAAAATAGTGTATATTATCAACATCGTCTTTCCTATCCACAAAACAAAACAAACTAATCCAACATCAACACTTCATCCTCCTTCCTATATATCCCCATGAAAAGATAGAGGATGGATGTGCTTGGTTGATTGGCAATTGCAGGTTTATAATTGACCTTGTAGCGCATTGGAATGATATATTATTGACAAATGGTAGTTCTTTAGCATGTATTCTTTACACTTCAATCTGCAATGTCTATCAGTGGTTTGAAGGACCAAAGTGTTCAACAATGACTCTCTTTCACTAAGCAGAAACGCCTCATCAGTGCAATGTAACTTGTATTGTATCAAGCACATTCTCATGAAGAATCTCTCAATGTTTCCAGGCAATATAGATCCAAATTTACAAAACTTAGCTCAAAAATTCAACAAATATATGCAAGAATTCAAAATCCAAAATGAATTCATTTTTTGACCAAAAAGAAAAATGAAATCATTTGAAATGATAGGGGATGGATGTGCTTGGTTGCTTGGCAGTTTCAAGTTTGTGGTTGACATTGTAGTGCCTTGGAAGGATGTATTATTGACAAGTGGTAGTTCTTTAGTTTGTATTCTTTACACTTCATCCTGCATTGTTATAGGCAAATCATCAATATATCAGCAGGTGCAACCAAAGCAAATACAAAGCAATGTAATTCAATGCACAAAATCAAAAGCTCAACAGTATTCTAGAAGAGAAGGAAACGGTAGTCATATATCCATCATACACATGTCATCATGTCCATATTCTTTTTAACTAATTTCATTCCAAATTATTTCTTTTTCAATTGTATATAAACAATATTGTTTTCACAAGAGTGAGAAATACAATAGAAATATTCAACCAATTCTAGTATTTCTTCTTCTCCATTCTTAATTCTTCACAGTTTATGTGGTTGTTGGTGATTTTTTATATTGAAAAAATGTCACATCTAAATAGCTTAAGAAAATAAAAGGCTAATGAATGACAATCAACCGACATTATTTCCACTCCCACTGAATTTAATAAAAGCAATGTATACAAAAAATGAACTAACCTAAATTTTGAACTCAATTTATCCAATATTAACACACTTCTCCAAGAGCATCTTTAATCCCCTCACTGCAATTTGTGCACCTAAATAATGCACAAAAGTTAATTTATTGTTAACAATCATTGCTCCAAAAAAAAAACCCTAAAGAAAATGAAAATTCCTTACTTAAATCATCATTGTTAGCAGATCGCCTATTCTTGTTGTCTGTGCTGTGAGATATTGCAGTGGAAGAATTTGCAGTGGCAGGCTCATATGAAGAAGGGTTGTCACGGGCCACACTATTATTAGAATGGCCAGGCCATATGGTGGAAAAAAAAACTTGGAAAAGCATATCATGAGGAACAAATCAAATAGGGATGTGAGAAATTTTCCAAGAGCCTTCAGTCGATCTAAGAACCATGTTTTGGAAATCGGTAAACCATATTGGGAGGCTGACTTGACCACGTATGCTGCTGGAACAGAAATGTTGATCCATTATTCTGATGGTGTCAAGACATACTTCACCAAGTAGTCAATAACATTCCAGTCCGCAGCAGAGATTGGCTCGTGTAATTTCCCAATGAGTTTGACTTCATTCTCCTCCAAGTGCATATCAAGTAAAGCACTAAAACGACCCCAGAGTTGCCTTCTAAACACAGACGTAGAATTCTGAATTTGTCAGACATTGATCACTTCCGGATTGGACAATCTCAGACTCTGCCGCTCCAGTTGGAGGGCCTCTAAAGAATCATAGTACATTTTCATCATTTTGTGCAAACGGTTCAACTGAGTTGTTGATGTAGCCATAGCAAGTCAATATGGGGAATTTTAGGGGTTTTGTAGCTGCAACAAACCTGGACTAGTTTAGAGGAGAAATACACCTTGGATAAGAAAATGAAAAATGATGAGGAACTATGGAAATGTCGAACAGTAGAAACAACTCTGGAACAAAACCTCATTGAAACAACTCTGTGTATTGGAAAAACAAGGATTGTTGAAACAACTCTGGGTTTTTCAAGAACTCATATCAATATTCAATGGGTTTAGAGCTAGGGATTTTAGAGGATTTTAGTGTTTGAAGCTGGAAAACATGCAAGAACTTCATATATTCAAGACAATTACAATTAGAATAGCAAGAATTTCTAAAATTGGAAATCCACAAAATTTAGGAATTTCAGGGTTCTACGTTAAGAAATTGGAGAATTAATAATGAAATTTAGATTGACGAAATGTAAGGAAATGAAAAGTTGGAGAAGTAAGCCACAAGAATAGCTAAGAAAATGAGAGAGTACATACAACAAAACCAGATTTTGCGAAGAAGACGACGGAAAAGAGCGCGAAAGAATCTGAAAAAGAGGAATTGATATGTTTTAGATGTTTGGATTAATATTATTAATATCTTGAATGCAGTGTCGGATCCAGGAATTTTCCTTGCAGGGGTCAACGTCTAAAAGGTAAAAAAATTATATACAAAATGGAACCAATAAAAATGAAACGATAATATTACAATTCTTAATTAATAGAAAAAACCACATTACAATTGTCCACGACGAGTTTTCATACTCTGAAAACGTTGCATTATAGAGTCATTATCAATACAAATAAACACATCTTTCTTAATGTAAACAAGTAAGCTATCACTCAACAATTGATCTCCCATTCGATTGTGAAGTGGACATTTCACAATATTCATAGCAGAAAATGCTCTCTCAACAGAAGCTGTTGCAACCGGTAAAGTTAAGGCTAATGTGAGAAGCAAATAAACATAATTAAATGTTCTATGCAACCATTTCTCCACCATTTTTCTTGTAAGGCTATCAATCCATTTCAATTGAGAAAAATCGCTCCTCGTATGCATATGATGAATATAAATCTCAAGTTGATCTTCAAGTGCCAAGAGTTCTCGGGGAGTAAAATCTTGAGGATAAAATTCTCAAAAGCTATAAATGAATCATCCGGACTCAAACATGCCAAACAAAGAAGTAACTCATTATTTACCTAACTGAAACGATGATTTAATTTCGCAAGTTGCCACTCAATGATTTGAATAAAGATATCCACACGATAATGATGGAGATGTGTTATTATAGGAGCTCTCCGATGTGATCTCCATTGAGCGACATATGCATCATCCATGTTTGGAACCAAGATATCATGTTTGCCACAAAAGGAAGATACTTGAGTGAGTTTGATGTAGTGTCGCTAACGTGTTGAATGCCCACAAACCTCTCAATTACATCTCCACTTTTGTCCACATAACGGAAGATACTTGATCAAGCAAGGCTTCAAATGCATTCTCTCTCATGTGTTGTAGTTGGTCCTTGCAATCTTTGACTAAAGTTATTGCATTCCCAATATCTTGGTCTTTCCTTTGTAATGCTTGTGACAAATCATTTGTGACTCCCAATATAAATCTCATGAAAAATAGTTGAAATACAAACTCAAAAAATTGTATATCTCTCAATGACCTATTTGCTTCACTTATATTATCAGTGGAGTCATCCTCAATAATCAATTTAAGCACTTTCACCACAGATTTGAACATATAAATAATACTAAGTAGTGTACCATAATGTGAGTTCCAACGTGTATCACCGGGACGCTTGAGACAAGTTTCTTGATTTAAGCCTCGCCCTGTTGGAAGAGTATCTTTTTCAAGAGCTTCCATAATATCCTTTTCTAGTTGGTCTCTAAGCATGTCACGACGCTTACACGATGCTCCTACAATATTAACCAAGCTATTGCAAGATGTGAAGAAAGTGGCAATATCAGCATTTCCCTTTGTCACGACCACAAGAGCTAATTGAAGTGGATGTGCAAAACAATGAATATAATAGGCACAAGGATTTTCTCTCAAAATATGTGTTTTAAGATCATTAAACTCACCCTTCATATTACTAGCTCCATCATATCCTTGTCCTCTTAGCATAGAAATGTTCAATTCCTCTCTTGAAAACAATGTGTCAATAGCCTCATTTAGTGAGTTTGATGTAGTGTCGCTAATATGTTGAATGCCCACAAACATTTCAATTACATCCCCACTTTTGTCCACGTAACGAAACACCACTGCCATATGTTCTTTTATTGACACATCTCGCAATTCATCAACTAATAAAGAAAAGAATGCACCATCCATATCCTTAATGATTTTCTTAATAGTTGCAAACAAACCCACTTAACTTAGCTGGAGCGGCATGTTGGTTTATACCCTTTGTTGGTTTGTTCGATTCCCGCAGGTAGTGTTTTTCCTTTTTGGGTTCTTTTATTGTTTGTTAATATAATTAACATATGTTGTCCAACCCCTCTTTTTCCTTTTTAACTACTTACTACAAATGCCCTAAATTTTTCAATTTTCAATTTTTTTTTGGTTTCCTGTGTTCAATCATTGCTTAAATAATAAAATTAAGCCAATCATAAAAATAAATTGATCAGGCTTAAATTTCTTATATAACAAAATAACCACAGCTATTATCTAAAAATGAGAATTAACTTCATCCCAGCTGCATTCCTAGTATATAGTATATAGATAACGCTTTAATTATACGGTTCGTGTTCGTGTTCGTGTTCGGATTTTCAAACTTGAAAAGGTTTTAGTTAAGGTTTAGCAGCACCTGCAACAAAACCAGATTTTAGTAGCTTTGCGAAGAAAACGATGTAAATGGCTGAGCCGAGAAAAGAGCGCGAAAGAATATGAAAAAGCGGAATTGATGTGCTTTAGATTTTTAGATTAATATTATTAATTAACATATTGTTCAACCCCTCTTTTTTCTTTTTTACTACTTACTACAAATTAAAACTACCCTTTGCTTTTTTTGGCATTGGCACCATCAACTTTTGAGTTGAGCCTGAAAACACCATTAGAAAGAATTGCACCTATTCATTCACTCTAGGATAAGGATAGTGTACAAACAAACAAACACAAATTGAGAAAAACAAAATTACAAACTGAAATTTGGAATAACACTGCCCAAAAAACACATTCAATTGACAAGCAAAAAAGCCTAACCCTAATTGAATCAAAAAGTGAAGTAAAAGAAAATGTCCAAAATGAAGTTGCTTATTAGTTGGCGATTGGTCCCCTCACCTACCACTCGTCTGTCTGACCATATATTATGGCGGGTCATTAGCCCAGTGTGCGTCATGACTGTAGGATGGGCCAATGTCACCTGACCTAATTCTTCTTCCCTTGTGGGGCCCAAGCCCACTACAATTCCCCATTGTCAGCCCGACCGACTAAACCCAAAACGTTTTTCTTGCCAACTCAAAAGATGCCATTAAATAAATAAACAAACTAAATAAGAGCAAGCAAGCCGTCTTAGCTCAGCTGGTAGAGCGCGTGGCTTTTAACCACGTGGTCGTGGGTTCGATTCCCACAGACGGCGAATTTGCCTTCACTTTATTATTTTGGCATTTTCCACTATTCATAAAGTGTAGTGGTCCCACCTTTATTTACAAATTTGGTTTTTGTAAAGGCAATTTCATATCAACTGCTAATCTTGAACCATTAGGCCATAAGTTACTTGTGGCCTGCAAAATTTAGCTGTCCCCTTCTCCTCTTTTGGCATCCGTCCATCGATGGGTCGATTTCTTCAAATCACGGTGGACCCTGGGCCCTTGGCTTTTGCGATGTTCGGCTTTTTCCTTTTTCTGGTAGACCAACTACTCTGAATTCCTAAACCATGTGGCCATATAAAGAGTTTCAGTTTGTCTATGAGTTCACACCTTTCACTAAAATACTCAAAATGGGGGCTGAAATTATAAAAATACTCAACACCCAAAACACTTTATAAACATACCCAAAACTCATCATTACACACACTCAAACCCCATTTATAAACATACCAAAAACTCATCATTACACACATACCCAAAACCCATTTTAGGTATGTTTCTATGTTTAAATAGTGCTTGGATATTTTTATAAATTCTACGATTGGGTATTTTTATAAATATCTATTTTTTTATTGCAACAACTGCAAGCCTATGATAATGTTCATTATAATAATAATAATAATAATAATATACAGAGCCAAAATGGACAAAACCCATTTTGGAGATGTTTAATTTAATCCTCTAATTAAAAAAATACAAACTAGAAGACAAATTAACAACAACAACAAACAATTTAATCAAAGATTACAACGCCAGCCAGCTAATACTACCAACAAGATACTGGGGCCTCTTGCTCCTCACAAGTGGCTTCATCTGCCATACACAACCACAAAGATATAAAAACCAACATTTCCTATGATCTCTCTCTCTCTCTGTGTTTCCTGCCTCCACCCACACTTCATAATTTCAGGCTCTCAGTACATCTTAGAAAAAGACCATGCACAGAGGCTTTTTTCTTTTTCTTTTTTATTTTCTTTTTTCCATTGAAATTGCCCACCCCATATGCAAAAATTCTTCTCTAACACATGTGACACACCCACCATGCATGTTCTCTCCCCAACCCACAACCCCCAAAAGTGTCCTTTTGTGAGCTTAAATTAATTTCTCTCGCTGGCTACATACATCAAGATTCAAAGGGGGTTTGGTTTTTAATTCTTTCCATATTTAGCTGGGGCAAGCAAGTTTTGAGACATCCCTACTAGACCTGTTGTATTTCATGTGGCTCTTGACCAGCTGCCCAGCTGCCAGGGCTGACATGAGTGAGAGCTCCCCTGCTAGGACAGAGCCAGCTACAATGGTGGCCAATTTCCTTGAGTTTGAACCAGGAGAGTCTTTGCTTGCTCCTTTCACACCTAATAGGTTCAAGCAGGCTGATTGGGATGCAAGTTGTGTTCCTCCTCCAACTGTTCCCACCTGAAAATTTATAAATTTATAAAATAAAATATAAAAAACAACAACAAAATTGGGATTAGGTGTCCTTTCAATTGAAGATCTCCACAAGAATCATCACTTCAATGTTTTCTTTCCCCAAAAAAAAGAAACCAGAAAAGAAAGCAAAGTCTGCAGATTCTGCATTGGTATGGTGTATTTTTATATATATTGGGAACCCTCCACACTCTGGAATTTTTAAATGGCATAAGACAAATTCTCTAGAACAGAACAATCTGGTTATGGATCTAACATCACCTTTCAAAATCATTTAAAATTGAGCATGAATTATAATTAAGTTAAGTTAATTACACTAAATTAAGCATTAATTATGGTTGTAATTGTACCTCAATGGAAGGCATGGTGACTGAGACATGAAGGTCCTTGCCATTATTGACGGCTTCCATCATGGTGATGCAGTGAGAGCTCTCTACATTCTGAGCAGGGTCCTGCCCAGTGGCTAAGTAAATTGCAGAAACAATGTTGCTGGCGTGGGCATTGAATCCACCAAGAGCACCAGCCATTGCAGAACCAGTAAGGTTTTTGAGCATGTTAAGCTCCACTAGGGCTGCCACATTCGTCTTCAGCACCTTCCTCACCACCTCTTCCCTGATCACTGCCTCACATACCACAGATTTGCCTCTCCCTTCTATCCAATTTACAGCTGCTGGTTTCTTGTCTGAGCAGAAATTTCCTGCACAGTACAGAATAAACACAAAACTAAATCAACCTAATGACCTATAGAAAATATTTCTACAAAGTAATGTTGTCTTGCCAAACTTGCGTCGTTTAAATCACATATGCGGTAAACATAAAACTCTTATATTACGAGACAGTCTAGCGAAATAACATTGTCATAATGATTAAATTATAATTAGTATCCATAATCCATGCATGTGATAGTGGAGATGAGGACATTAATTGGACAATAATGACTTTTTCATGATTATGGATACAATTAAAAAGAAGATAGGAGATTAATTAAGTTACCAGAGATGCCAATGATATCCATGTCAAGGAAGTCACTTTGAAGGAAATCTAGAACATTTTGGACGCCTTTGGAGACCATGTTCATTCCCATGGCATCTCCAGTGCTGCAAGTAAACCTCATGTACAGATTCTTCCCTGCTACTGCGCATTGTATCCTCTGAAGCCTTGCGAATCTACTAGATCTGAACAACAGGGCATGCAGATGCAGTCAACAAACAAACTTTATTTTATTTTATTATTAAGTATGAAAATTGCGTAAAATTATTCATGTAGGAAAAATAAATTAAAACAAAACAAACATCGAGGCATCAAGGCATCAACATCATAAAGATTTGGTAGATGAACAGAATAAAATTCACCAACTTATACTAGAAACAGATTCTTATTTAAATATTTATTCAAATAAAGTTCACCCTCCATCTCAAATGCGCTCCCCGAAAAAAGGTGTTGACTTAGTCCCACATATAGCAAAAACGATAATCAAAAAAGGAAAAAAATGAACTCACCAACTTTTTTAACAGTAAGAAATTGATTATTATAATTACAAATTGCAGCTAAAAAATGTAATTATTAGAAGAAAAAAAATAATAATTTGAAGGAGAGGAGAGTTGAATTAACCTACCTGTTGAAAACGACGGCGAGAGAATCAAAGTTGAGAGGGTCCTCGACGAAGAACTTGAGTTCGGCAGCTCTGGCGGCAGAGCTGAACCTGACAACGGGCGCCCGGGTCATGCCGTCCTTGAGAACCACGCTCTGGGCCCCGCCCGACACGTGGATGGCCTTGCATCCCCTATTGGTGCTCGCCACCAGACAACCCTCCGTCGTCGCCATCGGCACTGTGAACTCCTCGCCGTCCAGCAGCAGCGGCCCGGCCACTCCGACCGGGATCTGAACATACCCGACCGGCACCCCGGACGACGTCATTTTTTGGCTGTTGTTCGACGGCGACGACGTCATTCCAGGAGTCGTGGGGGGCGCGGGCGTTGTTGGGGGAGACGAAAGACTGGACGAAGTCAATGCCGAAGAAGCCGAGGAGGTAGATGACGGAGGCGAAGAGGGAGAAGAGGGCGGCGATCTCCGAGAGCGTCAGCACATGGAGCGGCGTGGACGTGCGGATCTTCTCGCGCCACCTGTGGAGGAGGAAGTAGGCGACGGTGAAGAAGAGCGTGAAGAAGAGGCCGTTGGTGAGGTAGAGCGGCAGAGGAAGCGCGTCGGAGGCCTTGAGGTTTTGCTTCTGGGATTTAGCGGGTTCGCCGGCAGCGGGTGGGTTTGGGGGTCGCCGACGAACGGCCATTATTAGAGAGAGAGAGAGAAAAAAAAGGGAGGGGGATTAAACTAATTAAATTAAGAAATTAGTGTACATTAAAACAAAAGGGGAGGATTAGAGGCGGGGATTAATTTAATTGGTTATGAGTTTGTTAAAAGGCGAAGGATTTGGACCGTTTTTTATAGAACGAGAAGAGGAGGGGAGTGAGGGGAAGAGGAGAGTGTAGGGGTGTGAGGGGGTTAGTTGGGTTTGGCGCGCTGGACCAAAGGTCCACACGTACGGTGTGAGGACACGTGTCGGGGTTTGTCTCTATGATCGGATCTACGGATCTACGGATCTATGGAAGTGACCATGGATCCCATGCTCATCATGATGATGCGCTCATCATGGACTTCCCTCTTTTTTTTCTCGAATTAGTTAATTGTTTTTTCTATTTTTGTTCTGGTTTTAACTTTTAATCTTCTGTGCCTCTCTATCTACCTTTTCCACGTCATGTCTTCTTTTGTTAATTTGTACAAGGTAATAAATTATTACTGGTACCTTGAAGAAAAGAACAAATTCACTACGTTTCTAAATGAATCGTATTTTTTTCAAATATCTATTTCAAATGACTCGTGCTTTTTTCAAATCACTCCGTTACAAGCAATTTTGTTTTTTTGGAAGATCCATCTCTTTGCTTTACCAAGTTTTGTTTTGCTACCTACCAATGTCGGTCCTAAGGTTTCGGAAGCCTTAGGTGAACTATCAAAATGTGGAATTCTACTTTCTATGTATATTTATGTGATTTTTTTTCGATAAGTTAAAAAAAACTATATGAACCCAAAGTATCAATTAATTTTGCATAATCAAGTTTTTCTACAATGTCTTTTTCAATAGAAAATATAAGCAATAGTCTTGTGGATTTTTATTTTCTTGTTCTTCCTCGAAGATCGCTTCCTATTGTAGTAGATATTCATTAATAAACTGCTTAATTTTTTTTTTTCTTGTGTTGAGTAGAGCAAATGTTCCTATATGCTGCTAGGTTTTTTTTGTTTTCACTAAGGTATATGCTACTAGGTTAACCTATTAAGTCAACTAGGTATTATTTGTTTTTGCTAAGGTAAGTATATGCTACTATGTCAACCTATTCAACTAGTTTAACTTAAAAATAATAATCGGTCCCTTATTAAGTTTCTATTTTTTCGTTTTAGAGTAAATAATTGGGCTTTTTTTTTAATAGTACTTGGGCTTAATATAAAAATATAGTACAATTTTTAAAGTAACATACATATGTATATATAGAGGTTTATAAAAATTGGGGGCCCTTCCAATTTGGAGGCCCTAGTAGACTGTCTTGCTTGTCTATGCTCAGGGCCTCCCCTGCTACCCACTAGTGTGTGTGGTGCCCCGATTAACCCGAGGGGATAGTGCGTGCTTAATGCAATCTCACATGTTACGTGACATGGCGATGATTTGACTAGACCAATTTTGCCTATTTACCTTAAATTTATCACAAATCAATCACTTTATGCTCTACTTAAACCCAAGCTACAAGGCTCAGTAATCTCTACAAGCAATTAAATAGGGTTCTTCAAGCACAATTTGATTTTAACACAAGCATATAAATTTGTGTTCATTATCTTTTTTGTTGATAAATTTACGTAAAGAAAAATCCGAACTAAAGTGTAAATACAATACATGAACAATGGGTTACAAGATTTGTCAATTCGAGTTTCGTACCAAGGGTGAAACAAATGCCTAACCCTAAGCTCAATCTGAATCTCATAAGTCATTTCATGTACATGATCAATGTCTGAAAATGGACTTAACTGCAATAACTGGTGTATGCAATCTCTATTTTTATCTGTCTCAATTTCTATAACAGAGAGAATTTGAATTCTGGTATATATGCTCAAGCTGTAAGGAAACAAACAAGAGATCTGGCTAGCTAGCTTATTCGAAGATGGTGATTAATTTGTATAACTCAGTAATTAACAACTAATAAGCCATATTGGTTCAATATCATGATTCTGCCCTGATTGGATTAATTTGTTTAAATTAAACCACCTTTGACATCACTCCTGCATGCATATCAATAAAGTATAAGATATGGCAAATTAATCAGAATAACACGCCAAATTAAAGCAATTGGGGCAATTAGTCAAGCTTAATTATAACCTAACTAGCTACATAATTCATATGTATGAATGAATCCAACTGAACAATTCAAACCCTAGAATGCAGGGGGAGACAACCTGGGCTTCCAAGGGAGACAACGAGTTTAAAAACAAATCGACGAGTCGAGTCTAATCTTCCATATCAAACGAAACCTTAAAGTTATGTGAAGTATATGTCATACAAATAAATGTGAGCTTTTGAATGTTTCTATATCTTGATGATGCAGAAGAGAGTCAAATGAAGCCAATCTTTGATAAAATGATATTATAATTAATCCGCTACCTACCAACCCTGATGTCGAAACAAATGATTAAATAAAGGGTAAATAGATAATTCATTAATTTGTTAGCTTAAAGAGAGTCAAATGAAGCCAATCTTTGATAAAATGATATTATAATTAATCCGCTACCTACCAACCCTGATGTCGAAACAAATTATTAAATAAAGGGTAAATAGATAATTCATTAATTTGTTAGCTTAAGGCTAAATCGATCACTTTCATTTGCAAGATCGTCATTGCAAAATGGCCGACCAACAATTTGGTAGTTGCCATGGGCTTGACTGAATCAACTGCCCGCAAAGAGCACGTGCCCATGTTTTATGTGCATACAGAGTTGAAACCTGGTTTATGCATACATGTCAAGTTGAAAATAAAATGGATGGGCATGCATGAGAGCCAGCCAAGACAAGACGGGAATTGTCTCATGCGTGCATGAATATGCATTACGTCCAATCATTAATGGGAGAAATTATACACCGATTTCAACCATTCCTCCTCCCCATACTCTCCGCCCATTCTTTATCATGCATGCACAGCAAAGCTAATTCATTAATTATATATATAATTAAATACAATGACGTAATAAGTGTTATAAATGCATGCCCTAGTGGTGGCAATCTACGTGTGCACCACTTCCACTTATTAGAGAGCTCAGCCACGTCTCCCTCTAGCGTGCCTTGATCTGGTATAAGTCTTGATCGATCAGATCACATATCTAATATCTTAGTATTGATTAATTAAAATGTAATTTTGTATGGCTTTAACGTGAGAAACGTTTTTCATTGAACCTTTTGCATGTAAGGTTCCTCTTGTCCTTGATATAATAATCCCTTGTCGTGTTTACCATTTAAAACGTGTTTGATGATAAAAACAAGTACATTGATGGTCAATCATCTCAGGGAACTGTTTCGTTCACGGAACACATTTGAGGGGAAATCACTTCTTATGTCATTTCTTAAGGAATGAGAAATGAGGATTTCTTTCCTATGTTTGGTAATCCTGAGAAAGTAACTAAGAAATACCACTTTATTTACTTTCACGTGTTTGGTTTGTGTAGGAATGTAAAACAAAATTTGTTTAATTTTCCAATTATAACCATATGAAATCAAATAAATAAATAATGCATTTAATGTTATATTGTAATTCTAAATTGTTAATGAGGACAATATGGTCATGAAAAATGTGTAAATAATGTTAGCTCATTTTCTCATACTTTCCCATGAGGAGGAAAACAAAACTCAAGGGGAGAGGAGGGCTTCACTTTCCCCTTTACTTTCCTATGTGCAAGGCAACGATTTTTCATACATGGACTTACTAAACATAAGAAAGCAATTAATTTCTCATACCCAAACCTCATTCCCATGAACCAAACGGGCCTAAATTAAAACTAATTGTTTATTCTCACCATATCACCATAATTAAGTAACCAACAGGTAAAGGCTGGCAAAGAGATCAAACTATCTTCAAAAAAACAAAAAATAAAATTGAAGACCAAAGACAATGGGTTTTATAGAAACTGATTAGGCTATTTTGGGCTGGGTTGGGTTGTAGGTGGTAGAATTATCCAGAGCCCGATCCAGACCGTAAACTGGTTGGGCTGAGGTCGTATGTGTTAAGTGGGCGAGAAAGCCTCAACATCCGGACCTTTTTAATTGGATCCAGGATCTGGTTTGAACATCAAAATGGTTGATCCAAGATTTCAATGTGCAGTAAACACAAGGGAATGTTCACCCTAGCCAACGTGATAAGTCTTCCAAGTTTTTATTTTTATTTTTTATGCAATCTTCCAAGTTCCAACCAAAGAGTTTATATCCGAATTCTAGTGTGCTAATGACATGTTTACTTATTATGGATAATAACATTATTCTAATACCTGACTTCACGTTGTGTTTATTAATTAACACATACAGAATTCAAAAACATGTGAATCATACATACAATTTGTCTTAAAATCAAGAATTAGATTGATCATGGGGAAGTAGTTAATCTCACACCTATTTTCTCTCTTCCTTATTCCCAACTTTCTCCATTTCAAGTAAACATAAATCCATCATACATTCAAATAGCAAAGGACTACTTAACTGTGATAAGTAAAGGCCAATGTCACACTTCACAATACACGAAGACGAAGATTTTCATATTGAACAAATTCCATACGAAGGATCACATCCGAGTATGAATACATTTGGAATTTATAGTTATAGAGAATCGAAATCATTCATTGAAAATCCTAAAATTCTTCTTATGACTACATTTATCGTTTATAAGAAGAATGTTAGGCAAAGAAATTAGTAGAGTGATGTGTGTGATTTTCGACCCTAATTGGTATTCACTCCAAAAAGCTCAATACACCCAAAACCCTTCCGGTTCAAGTTTGGCAATCAATATATAGAATTCTTGTTCGGCAACAAATGAGAGCGACTGTTTGTTTTGTATGTTTTAAAACCATAAACAACAGTTAAACAAAACTGCACACACACACACACAGTAGCCTCCATCACCTTTTTTTTTTTTTTTTTTTGGGTTTTTGTTTTTGTGAGGGTCCCTTTCACAATAGAAAGTGAGCCTAATTTCCCACGTAGCTTACACATGCTCATCTTTAT